TGTTTTGCCTATGTTTTCATTTAGGAGTTTTATGGTGTCATGTCTTATGTTTAAGTCTTTAAGCCATTTTGAGTTTATTTTTGTGTATGGTGAGAGGTTGTGTTCTAACTTCATTGATTTACATGCAGCTGTCTAACTTTCCCAACACCCTTTGCTGAAAAGACTCCTTTCCCATTGTACCTTCTTGCCTCCTTTGTCGAAGATTAATTGACTGTGGTGTGGGGGTTGATTTCTGGGCTCTTTCTTCTTTTCCATTGATCCATATTCTGTTTTTGTGCCAGTACCACACTGTTTTATTACTGTAGCTATGTAGTATTCTCTGAAGTCTGGGATGGTTATGCCTCCTGCTTGGTTCTTTTTTCAGGATTGCTTTGGCAGTTCTAAGTCTTTTATGGTTCCAGATGAATTTTAGGGTTATTTGTCCTAGTTCTATGAAAAGTGCCATTGGTAATTTGATAGGGATTGTGTTAAATCTGTAGATTGCTTTGGGTACTATTGCCATTTTAACAATATTAATTCTTCCAATCCAAGAGCAAGTGATATCTTTCCATTTCTTTGAATCATCTTCAATTTCCTTTATTAATGTTTTATAGCTCTCAGCTTATGAGTCTTTCACCTTCTTGGTGAGGTTTATTCCTAAGTATTTTATTTTTGGGGTTGTGATTTTAGAAAGTTTTTTTTTTTTTTTTACATTCTTTCTGATATTTCATTGTTGTTGTAAAGAAATGCAACTGACTTCTGTATGCTAATCTTGTATCTTGCTACATTACTGAATTTATTTATCAGTTCTAGCAGTTTTTGTGTGGAGTCTTTAGGGTATCATACAGTGTATCATCTATATATAATTACAATTTTACCTCTTCCCTTCCAATTTGGATACATTTTATTTCTTTTTCTTGTCTGATTGCTGTGGCTAGGACTCCCAATACTGTGTTGAATAGAAGAGGTGAGAGTGGGCAATGTTGTCTTGCTCCAGATTTTAGCAGGAAGGCTTTCAGCTTTTCACCTTTGACTATTATATTGGCTGTGGGTTTGTCATAAATAGTTTTTATTATTTTGAGATATGTTCCCTCTCCATCCACTTTGGTAAGAATTTATATCATGAATGGATGTTGAATTTTGTCAAATGCTTTTTCTGCATCTATTGAGATGATCATGTGGTTTTTGTTTTTTCTTTTGTTTATATGGTGTATCACATTGATTGATTTGTGTGTGTTGAACCATCCTTGTAAACTTGGGATGAATCCCACTTAGTCACGGTTATGATCATTTTCATGCGTTGTTGGATTTGGTTTGTTAATATTTTGTTGAGAAGTTTCGCATCTATATTCATCAAAAATATTGGCCTGTAATTTTTTTTTCTGATGGTGTCTTAGTCTGGTTTTATTATCAGTGTTATAGTGGCTTCATTAAAATGTCCTTGGGAGTGTTCCCTGCTCTTCAATTTTCTGTAAGAATTTGAGAAGAATTGATGTAAATTCTTCTTTGTATGTTTGTTAGAATTCACCTGTGAAGCCATCTGGTCCTGGACTTTTATTTGTAGGGAGTTTTTAAATTACAGACTCTATTTCAGTTCTAGTGATCAGTCTGTTCAAATTATCTATTTCTTCTTGATTCAATTTTGGAGGGCTGTATGTTTCTAGAAACTTGTCCCATTTCTTCTAGGTTGCCAAATTTTTGACATATAATTATTCATAGTATTCCCTTATGGTTTTTTGTTATTCTGTAGTATCAATTGTTATGTCTCCTTTTTCATTTCTTATTTTGTTTATTTGGATTTTCTCTCTTTTCTTCTTGGTGAGCCTGGCCAGAGGTTTGTCAATCTTGTTTATCCTTTCAATGAATCAACTCCTGGTCTTACTGATTTTTTCCTATTTTTTAAATTTCTATTTTATTCATTTCCTCTCTAGTTTTTATTATTTCCTTCCTTCTTCTGACTTCAGGTTTTGTTTTTCTTCTTTTTCTAATTCTTTTAAGTGGTTGGTTAAGCTGTTTATTTGAGATTTTTCTTTATAGAGGAAGGCCTGTATCGCTATAAACTTCCCTCTAAGAATTGCTTTTGCTGTATCCCATAGACTTTGTATGGCTGTGTTTTCATTGTCATTTGTCTCAAGGTATTTTTTAATTTCCTCTTTGATTTCATCATTGACCCATTGGTTTTTTAGAAGCATGTTGTTTAGTTTCCATGGAATCATTTTTTTCTCATTTCCTTTTCTGTGGTTAATTTCTAGTTTCATGTTGTTGTTGTCAGAAAAGATGCTTGAGATAATTTCTATAGTCTTAAATTTGTAGAGGCTTGTTTTGTGCCCTAGTATGTGGTTAATTCTAGAGAATGTTTCATGTGCACTTGAAAAGAATGTGTAATCTGGTTTTTTGGATGTAATGTTGTGAAAATATCAATTAAGTCTAACTGTCCTATTGTATCACTTAGGATCTCTGTTGCCTTATTGATTCTCTGTCTGGAAGATTTGTCCATTGATGTGAGTGGGGTGTTAAAGTCTCACACTATTATTGTATTCCTGTCAATTTCTCCCTCTATGTCTGTTAGTATTTGCTTTATGTATTTGGGTGCTCCTATTTTAGGTACATATATGTTGATAAGTGTAAAATCCTTTTGTATTGATCCTTTTATCATTATATAGTGTCCTTCTTTATCTTTCTTTATGGCCTTTGTTTTAAAGTCTTTTTTGTCTGATATCAGTATTGGGACCCCCACTTTCTTTTCATTTCCATTTGCATGAAATATCTTTTTCCATCCCTTGGTTTTCAATCTATGTGTGTTCTTTGCCCTGAAGTGCATCTCTTGTAAGCAGCATACTGTACACTCTTGTTTTTTTATCCAACCTGCCACTCTGTCTTTTGACTGGAGCATTTAGTCCATTAACATTTAAGGTAATTATTGATAGATATATATTTATTGCCATTTAAAACCTTATTTTCCCATTGATTTTATATTTCTTCTTTGTCCGTTTCTTTTTCCTTTTGTTTTTCCTTTCATCATTTGATGATTTCCCTTTTGTATTATACTTAACGTTCCCTTTTTGGTTTTGGTGAATCTATTGTGTGTTTCTGACTTGTGGTTACACTGTTTTTCATGTATGTTAACTCCTTCCTATATATAGTTGCCTTAGACTGTAGTCATATAGGCTCAAACACATTCTAGGGAAAAAAAATCCACATTTTCTTACTCTCCTCCCCCACATTTTATGATTTTGATGTCCTCTCTTACATCTTCATGTTCTTCTTTTTGCTATTCATTGTGGTTGTCATCACTTTCACAGAAAATATTTTTGATTTTAAAATATTTTGATTAAAATTTAAAACATTCTGATTAATTTTGATTAAAACATTTCATTAAAATGTTTTAATCTGTGTACTGGTTTCTTTAAGTGATTATTTTCCAATTGTAATTTTCTTTTTCTTATAGATTCTTACTTCTTTTCTATTTAGAGAAGAGCTTTCAATATTTCCTTTAGGATAAGTATAGTATTGCTGTATTCTTTTAGTTTTTGCTTGTCTGGGAAGTTTTTTATCTCTCCTCTTCTAAAGGATAATCTTGCTGGGTAGAGTATTCTAGTTTGCAAATTTTTCCCTTCCAGGACTTTGACACTTGCTTTTGGCCTACAACGTTTCTGTAGAGGAATCAGCTGATAGTGTTAGTGGGGTTCCCTTGTAATTAACTCTTTGCTTTTCTCTTACTGCCTTTAGAATCTTCTCTTTGTCTTTAGCTTTTGACATTTTTATTATAGTATGTCTTAGTGTAGGTCTCCTTGGGTTTATCTTGTTTGGGACCCTCTGTGCTTCCTGTACCTGGATATCTGTTTCCTTCTTTACATTTGGGAAGTTTTCAGTCATAATTTCTTCAAACACATTTTTGATCCCTTTTTGCTTTCTTTCCCTCCTGGAATCCCTATTTTGCATAGGTTGGCATAGTTTATATTATCCCATAGGTCTGTTGTATTGCTTTCTTCTATTTTTTTAATTTGGCTTTCTGTCTTCTGTCTTGATTGGACGATTTCCATTATTCCTTATTCCATTATTCCAGGTCACTTATTTGTTCTTCTGCATTATTCATTTTGCTATTCACTGACTTTAGCTCAGCTTTTATCTTGGCAAATGAGTTTTCTAATTTTTCTTGGTTCCTCTTTCTAGTTTCTAGTTTCTTTTTTCTGTACTCTGCATTTCCATTGATACCCCTTCTGAATTCCTTCAGTATTTTCATTATCTCCTGTTTTAAATCAGTGTCTATCATATTGAATAGGTCTGCTTCATTGTTTGTTCTTTCAGGGGAATGCTCTTGGTCTTTTAACTGGGAGTGGTTCCTCTGCTTCAATTTACTTTTATTTCTCTCTGTGAGTTTAGGAGAAGCAATTATGTACTCTGGTCTTGGAGAGCTCTTTTTACGTGGGAGCATCCCTGTGTAGCTTGTATGGATTTAGTATTTTTGGTCTGAGGGCTTTTTTTAGTATGCATGCCTGGCACCTCTTTCCTCAGCATGTGCTGGTCATTATCCCCTTGATAGGTGGTATGCAAATGTGGCTGCTGGTGCCCAGTCCTGGAGTTCTCAGTGGTGGCAATGGCTCAGGAATGGCCCTGGGACACAGGATGGGAGCAGAGGTGGCTCACAACCACTCCTGGAGTTTGGGCAGGTGGCAGTGGGGGCTCTCAACCACTCCTGGGGTCTGCAAGGGTGGCAGTGGTGGCTTGCAACCACTCTTGGCTTGCAATGACTCCTGGTATCTGGGAGGGAGGTGGCAGGGGCCCATAACTACTCCTGGATTCCAAGAGGGAGATAGCAGAGACCCATGACCACTCCTTGGGTCTGGGAGGGTAATTATTTTTATTTTAAACACCTGAAATTGTTCTTCCTTTTTGAATACATGTATACATGCACAAACAAACCTGTTCAAGCATTTGAGCAAAATGTTAAAAATTAAAAGATATAATAACATACAAAATTGAAATGTTTGCTTCTCTTTTGTTTGTTCTTACCATTTTAGATGATGGAAAATTGTCCTTTGAAGAATTCAAAGCATATTTTGCAGATGGTGTTCTGAGTGGAGAAGAGTTACGTGACCTCTTCCATACCATTGATACACATAATACCAAGTAAGGAACTTTTTTTAAATCACTACATTCTGTAAACAAAGTAGAGAGGGCATGAACAAGTACATACCAATGAAACAGAGATGGAGTAAAGCTGCAGAGATCACATTTTGTAACACGCCTATGTTCAGTTCTGAGATAGCCTCTAACAATTGAAATGCTGTGAAAAACTGAAGTTTGAACTGGAAAATAAAGTTCTTCTGTAGGGAGTTCTCATAAAGAGTTTGCAGAATTAAAACAAAGCATAGGTTATAAATAATTCTAATTCTGCCATTAATAAGAAAGTAGAATTTTACCTTGTTTCTTAGATTTCATCTCAGTTTGCTTCATTTAAAAATTGTTCTAAGTCCATTTTTATATTACTGTAGTAAAATAGGAAATTGCAGCAATTATCTGGACAATTCAGATGGGTGTGCTGAACTCCAAATCAGTGTTACCTGAGAGATGTAGGTAATGTGGGACACAGAATTTTCTCTGAGCAATCAATGTATATAGTGATCTACTTGATTTATTTTCAAATCTGGCAAAATAAAATATGAGCTCTGAAAATTTGTAGGTTAACTGATGGATTTTTTTGAGTCATTTTACAAGAAATCATTTACTTAATTTTTGAAATTCAAAGTGCTTTATTATGTTGCACTATAGGCACATCTATGACTACATTTCTAAAAAAATATTTGCTTCTCATGATCAAGCAAAATATTTTAAAAATATTATTTATGTGACAAAAGAGGAAAATTTAACTTGCAAGTTAAAGAGGAAAATTTAACCAACAAGATATATTTTCAATGTTTTCCTTCTTTCTTTCCAAATGTTTTCAAAGTGGTTATGTCACTATATTTAAAGTGATAAAAGGAAAAAATATATAATGAAAAATATTCTACCCAACAAGGGTAACATTCAGATTTGAAGGAGAGATAGTTTTAAGACAAGCAAAATCTAAAAGAGTTTGGTACCACTAAAATGTCTGTACAATAAATGTTAAAGGGAGTTCTCTAAGTGGAAAAGAAAGACCACAACCAGAAATATGAAAATTATGAAGGTAAAGGTCTCATTAGTAAAGGAAAATACACAGTAAAGGTGGTAGATCAATCACTCACAAAACTAGTAGGGAGGTTAAAAGACAAAAGTAGTAAAATCATCTAATCCACCATAAGTAGTTAAGGGATATTTTTTTAAATGCAAAATGTGAAAAAAAAATATTAAATGTTGGGTGGGGGTGCAGGTCTCTTAGAATGCATTTGAACTTAAGAGATCAGTAAAGTATAATTATCGTGTGTGTGTGTATATATATATATATATATGCACATATATATATTGTTATATATAAACCTCATGGTAACCACAAACACAAATCTATAATAGATATACACACAAAATAGAGAAAGGAATCCAAAAATAACACTAAACATAGCATCGAGTCACATTGGAAGAGTGCAAAAGAAAAAGGAAAGAACAATAAAGAACTATAAAAATGAACTGAAAACAATTAACAAAATGGCAATTGATACATACTTATCAATAACTACTTTAAATGTAAATGGATGAAATACTCCAATCAAACAACACAGAGTGCCTGAATGGATACAAAACTAAGACCCATATATATGCTGCCTACAAGAGACTTACTTCAGGTCTAAAGACACACAAAGACTGAAAGTGAGGGGATGCAAAAAGGTATTCCATGCAAGCAGAAATGAAAAGAAAGCCAGGGTAGCAATATTTATATCAGATAAAATAGACTTTTAAACAAAGACTGTAACAAGAGCCAAAGTAGGACATTACATAATGATAAAGAGATAAATGCAATAAGGAGATATAACATTTATAAATATATTTAAATCCAACATGGGAGCACCTAAATATATACAGTTATATATACTAAATAACTAATGAGTCACTGAAGAAATCAAAGCGGAAATCACACAAATGAAAATAGAAACACAACAATCCACAATCTATGGGACACAGCAAAAACAGTTGTTAAGAGGGAAGTTTATAGAGATACAAGCCTACCTCAGGAAAGAAGAAAAATCCCAGAGAAACAGCTTAATCTTACACCTAAAGGAACTAGAAAAAGAAATGCCAACAAAATCTAATGTTAGTATGAAGAAAGCAATAATAATGAACATAGGAGAAATAAATGAAATAGAGGCTAAAAAAGAGACAAAAAAAATCAATGAAACTAAGAGCTGATTCTTTGAAAAGATAAACAAAATTGATAAAACTTTAGACAGACTCATCAAGAAAAAAGGAGAGGTCCCAAATCAATAAAATAAGAAATTAAAAAAAGAGAGAGGTCCAAAATCAATAAAATAAGAAATGAAAAAGAAGTTACAACCCATGTTATAGAAATAGAAAGGATCATAAGAGATTGCTAAGAACAGTTATACACCAATAAAATGGACAACCTAGAAGAAATGGATGAGTTCCTAGAAACATAAATCTCCCAAGACTGAATCAGGGAGAAATAGAAAATATTAACAGACCTATTACCAGTAATGAAAAATAATCAGTAATAAAACAAACAGAAGTTCAGGACCAGATGGCTTCACAGGTGAATTCTCTCAAATATTTAGAAGAATTAATGCCTATCCTTCTCAAACTATTCCTCCCCCCACAAAAAAAAATTGAAGAGGAAGGAATGCTTCTGAACTCATTGCAAGAGGCCAGCATTACCCTGATACCAAAACTAGACAAAGACCCCACAGAAAAAGAAAATGATAGGCCCATATCTCTGGTGAACATAGGTGCAAAAATCCTCAACAAAATTTTAGCACATTGAATTCAACGATACATTAAAAGGATCAAACAACATGATCAAGTGGGATTCATCCCAGATTTATCCCCTGGATGCAAGGATGGTTTAATATCGGCAAATCAGTTAATAGGATACACCACGTTAACAAATGGAAGAGTAAAAATCATATGATCATCTAAACAGATGGAGAAAAACTTTTGACAAAATTCAACACCAATTTATGATTTTAAAACCTCTCAACAAAATGAGTGTAGAAGTAATATACCTCAACATAATAAAGGCATAAATAACTAATGCACAGCTAACATCATATTCAACAGTGAAAGGTTGAAACTTTTCCCACAAAGGTCAGTAACAAGAAAAGCATGCTCAATCTACCACTCCTATTCAACATAGTACTGGAAGTCTTAGCCACGGCAATTAGACTAGCAGAGGAAGTAAAAGAATTTAGATTGGAAGGAATAAGTAAAACTGTCATTGTTTGCAGATGACATGATACTATATATAGAAAATTCTATATAGTATAGATACTATATATAGAAAATTCTAAAGACACTGCCAAAAAACTACTAGAACTTTCAATGAATTCAGTAAAGTTGTAGGATAAAAAATTAACATACAGAAATCTGTTGCATTTCTGTACACTAAGAACAAACTATCAGAAAGAGAAATTAAGAAAACTATCTCATTTACAGTTGCATCAAAACTAATAAAATACCTAGGTATAAATCTAACCAAGGAGGTAAAAGACCCATTTGGAAAACTATAAAACGTTGATGAAAGAAATTGAAGATGACAACATACAAAGGGAAATATATACTGTGCTAAGGGATTGGAAGAATTAATATTGTTAAAATGTCCATGCCGCCCAAAGCAATCTACAGTTTTAGTGTAATCCCTATCGAAATACCAATGGTAATTTCCACAGAACTAGAACAAATAATTCTAAAATTTGCCTGGAAACACAAAAGACCCTGAATAATCTAAACAATTTTGAGAAAGAAAAACAACACTGGATGTATCTCACTCCCTCATTTCAAACTATACCCCAAAGCTACAGTAATCAAAACAGTATGGTACTGGCATGAAAACATAGATCAGTGGAACAGAATTAAGAGCCCAGAAATAAACCCATGTTTATATGCTCAATTAGTCTACAACAAAGGAGGCAAGGACATACAATGGAGAAAAGACAGCTTCTTCAATAAATGGTATTGGGAGAACCAGACAGCTACTTACAAAATAATCAAACTGGACTACTTTCTCATGTCATATAAAAAATATACTCAAAATGGATTAAAAACATAAATGTAAGGCCTTAAACCATAAAACCTTTAGAAGATAACACAGGCAGTATGCTATTTGACATTAGTCTTTGCAATATTTTTTTGGATTTGTCTCCTCAGGCAAGGGAAACAAAAGCAAAAATAAATAAATAAGACTACATCAAACTAAAAAGCTTTTACACAGTGAAAGAAAATATCAGAAAAATGAAAAGGCAGCCTACTGAATGTGAGAATATATTTTCAAACTATATTTTGGAAAAGAAGTCAGTATCCAAAATATACAAGGAACTCATACAACTCAACCTCAAAAAAAAAAAAAAAAAAACCAAGTAAAAAAGGGCAGAGGACTTGAATAGATATTTTTCCAAAGAAGAAATGAAGATGGCCATCAGACACATGAAAATATGCTCAAGGTCACTAATTATCAGCAAACTGCAAATGAAAACCACAATGAGATATCACCTCATACCTGTCAGAATGGGTACTATCAAAAATACAACAAATAGCAAATGTTGGTCAGGATGTGGAGTAAAGGGAAACCTTATGCACTCTTGGTGGGAATGCAATTTGGTACAGCTACTATGAAAACATAGTGTAGAGTTTCCTCAAACAATTAATGATAGAACTACCATACAATCTAGCTATTTCACTTCTGAGTATTTTTCTGAAGAAAACAAAATCAAAAAGATACATGCACCCCCATGTTCACTGCAGCATTATTTACAATAGCCAAGATTTGGAAGCAACCTAAGAGTCCATCAATAGATGGATGAATAAGGAAGATGTGGTACATACATACAATATAATACTATTCAGCCATAAAGAGAATAAAATTTTGCCATTTGCAACAACATGGATGGGCTTTTGGAGGATATAATGCTAGGTGAAATAAGTAAAATAAAAAAGGCGAATACTGTGTGATATCACTTACATGTGGAATCTAAAAAATACAACAA